TAACCCCAATAAAAAGTAATTGGTTCATCAAGATGGAATGCTTACATGATGTGTGTGGTATCTCCTTAAGTTTCATACACAACAAGCTTTTACCTTGATGAATGGAACATTAAGGTCAATGATGATGAGAATTTTGAAAAAGAGAACTATAGGAAAGCCAGAGTTCCCTCATGCACAACTTAGGTAGTGGTGAAATGCTTTTCTGGTGGTGTCTTTTTTAAAGATTTATTTTTATTTATGTTTATGTGTGTGTGTCTATATGAGTGAGTGACATATATGTGCAGGTGCCTGAAGAGGCCAGAAGAGGGTATTGGATCCCCTGGAGCTGGAGTTACATATGGTTGTAAGCTGCTTGACATGGGTGATGGGAACCAAACTCAAGTACTCTGGAAGAACAGCAAGTGTTCTTTGTTTTTTTGTTTTGTTTTGTTTTTTTGAGACAAGGTCTTTCTATACCCCAATTGGCCTGGAACTTGACATGTAGACCAGATCCTCCTGCCTCTACCTCCCAAATGCTGGAAATAAGGGCGTGCCACACCCAGCTAGCAAGTGTACTTAATTACTGAGTCATTTCTTCAGTCCCCATGAATAATACTTTATTGGGAACTGGGGAAAGGTCATCTTTGTTTCAAATTAAAAATTTGGGAGAACTATGTCCATGTTTGTATCAGTCAGTTTTCTGTTGCTGTGATAGAAACACTAACCCAAGCAAGTTACAGAAAGAGGAGTTTATTTGAGCTTACGGTTCCAGGGGAATTACAGCTCATCATGGCAGGGAGGCGTGGTGGCTGGAGGTGGACCAGGAACAGCACAAGCTAAGCTCTCACATCATCATGCAGGCACAGGAAGCAAGAGACCGATTGGAGATCTGGCATGGCTTAAGAACTCTGTAAGCCCACCCCCAGTGACTTGCTTCCTCCAGGATAGCCACACCTTCTAAAATCTCCCAAAACAGTGCCATCATCTGGGGACAAAATGTCCAAACACTTGGAGCCTATGGGGGACATTTTCATTCAAACCATCACAATGTTCTATAAGTTTATGGAAGGTAGAAGCTAGTCTGATTAAGTTGTTTGGTAGAGGAATTTTCTAAGATACAATATTAGTTTGCTATATTATGACTTTCTGGCTTATAGTAATCTGACTGAAGACAGTTGATTTAATATGGAATTTATTCAAAAGAGAAGTAGAATGCAATCAAGTGGAAAATTCTTCATCTGGTCCTGTAAAGAATAAAAAAGTGGGGCTGCTGAGATGGTTCAGCAGGTAAGAGCACTGGCTAGCCCGGCATGGTGATACACACCTTTAATCTCAGAAGTTGATCTCTGTGAGATCAAGGCTAGCCTGGTCTACAAAGCAAAAGCAAGTTCCAGGCCAGCCAGGGCTACAAGGTGACCCTGTCTCAAAATAAAAACAAAACAAAAGAGCAGTGGCTGCTTTTGCAGAAGACCTAAATTCAGTTCCCTTCTCCACATGGCAGCTCACAACCATCTGTTAAGTCCAGTTCCAGGGGATCTGGTGCCCTCTTCTGCCTCTGTAGCAGACATGACACAGGTACACTTATGTGCATGCAGGCAATATGCTCACACACATAAAATAAAAATAAAGTTTTAAAAAAAGAATAAAATTCTTTTGGGGGGGGGAAAGGAACAGTAGGGGTATGGCCAAGTGTTGTGCTTTATGTTATTATAAATGTTTCCCTAAGGTCCATACACTAGTCTTGGTTGCTAGCCATTGGTGCTATTGTTAGCTCTTGGACCCCTAAAGAAGTGGGGCCTAGCTGGAGGAAATTAGGTCGTTGGGAGTTCGCCTTGAAGGCAGTACTAGAATGCCATGTCTTTCCCTTCGCTTTCTCTTTGCTTCCCAGCCAATGTGAGTCTTGTGCTTTTTGCTTCTGCCATGATATACTGCATTGTTACTGACCTAGAATCAGCAGGCGATAAGCCAAAATAAACCTCTTACCTTTAGATTATGTATTTTAGGTGTTTTGGTACAGAGCTGGAAAGCTAAATGACATAATACACCATTTGATAAGAACATTAATATGGGTAGAATATGTGCTTGCCATTAAAACAGTCTCAAGAAACATTTAAAATATTTGGAGAAAGCCGGGTGTGGTGGTGCACACCTTTAATTCTAGCACTTGGGAAGCAGAGGGAGGCATATCTCTGTGAGTTCAAGGCCAGCCTGGTCTACTTATCAAGTTCCAGGCCAGCTGGGGTACAGGGAGACCCTGTCTCAAAGAGACAAAAAAAAGATTGGAGAGGGCTAGAGAGATGACTCTGCAGTTAGAATACTTGCTCTTCTAGAGGTCTCAAGTTCAGTTCCCAGAACTCATCATCTTGGGTATTTCACAACTGCCTGTAACTCCAGCTCCAGGGGACCCTATGCCCTATTTTTCTTCTGTGGACACCTGTACACATGTGACATATACACAGAGACACATGCATATATACTTTATGTGTATGATTGTATTACCAGCATGCATGTAAGTGCACCGGTGTCTCGAAATGCCCAAGGGGTCAGAAAAGGGCATAGGATCCCTTGGAACTGGAGTTATAGATGGTTGTTAGCCATCATGTGGGTGCTGGGATTCAAACCCAGGTTCTCTGCAAGAACAGCCAGTGTTCTTAACCACTGAGCCATCTCTCCAGCCCCTAAAGTATGTTTTTAAAAAGCATTTCCTTAGGTTGATTATTTTGCTAGGCAAGGTGGCTCGCACTTTTGATCTCAGCACTCAGGAGACAGAAGCAGATGGATCTCTGTGAGTTTAAGGCCAGCCTGCTCAACATAGTTAGTTCCATGCCAGCCAGGGCTACATAGTGAGATCCTGTCTCAAAAAAAAATTAGAATAGAATAGAATAATAAAATAAACTAAAATTGGAGTGCTGACAAGGTAGCTCAGCAGGTAAAGACACTTGCTGCCAAGCCTGAGGACCCAAGTTCAATCCCCAGGAGTCACATGGTGGAAGTAGAGAACCAATTCCCACAGATTGTCCTCTGACCTCCACACACATGCAGTTGAATGTGCACACAAGTACATGTATGTGCCCATACATGCACATAATAAATATAATAAACAGTTGTTTAAAAAAGTAAAATTAGCTGGGCATGGTAATCCCAGCACTCAGGAAGCAGCCTGGTCTACATAGCAAATTTCAGGCCAGATAGGACTATGGGGAGCCTCTGTCTCAAAAAGACAAATTAATTAATTATTTTGGAGAGGGGCTTACAGAGATGGTTCAGTGGGTAAGAGCATCTGCTGCACAAGTATGAGGTCCTGACCTGGAATCCCAGACACACACAGAAACAGCAGAGTGTAGCTGTGCATGTGCCAGTAACCCCAGTACTAGTGAGGTGGCGGTGGGGGGAGACAGGAGGATTGCTGGTGTTTCAGTGTGAGACCCTGTCTCAAGGGAATATGGTGGAGCAATCCAGCAGGGTACTGAAAAAGACTAGGCGCCATGAGTACTCATGAGCCCACATGTTTAAAATTGACAAAAACCAGGACCAGCCTTATCAAAAGGCTGCAGGACGGGCAGGCGCCGGTCAAGCTTCACAGATTAAGCCATAAACAAGTTTTACGGGTAGGACTCCTGACCACCCTGAGGGCCCGATACCAGGAAATCAAGGGAAAAACACCTGTGCCTCTGAGGTCACCTCCCATTTAGCAATCCCACTTCCCCTTAGCCCCAGCCCTTACCCCATATCTCTGCATACTTTTGAAATTATTGTGTGTGTGTTTGAATTAACCAATAACTGCTCTTCTGCTTCTGTACCCTGCTTCTGCTCTATAAAAACTGCCAAACCCCAACCTGGGGCGCGACCTGCTTCTGCTCTATAAAAACTGTGAAACCCGAGCGCAGCTCTCCGCGCTGGGACTCCCTAAGCCACATTCACCCTTCCATCCGAGGAGACTCTGTGCCCACAGGTACCTGTGTATCAAATAAACCTCTTGCTGTTGCAACCCGAAAGGCTGACTTGTCCTCAGTGGTCTCACTCTTACAGTACCCAGTGCCCTCCTCTGGCCTCTGCACCCACAGGTGTATATATACCTCACATATATATATATACCACACACATATGCCACACACACAAAGAAATTCTAAACAAAAGCAAAACAATGAAATGTCTTGGCAAGCTAGTTGCTCTTCCCATCAGTTAAATAAGTATTACTTTTAGAATCATTTAATGGGAGAAACCCAATTAATGGGAGGGACCTTGGAGCTCTTCACAATTCCACCTTGGGTCTCAGCTCTCTCTATTCCAGTATGGTCACCTCAGAAGCCCCTACTAGGGCAGTTCGGAACAGAAGAGTGCTGTTGGGGCCAGTGACACGCTTCTTTTTTTTTTTTTTTTTTTTTTTTTTTTTGAGACAGCTGTACTGGGGATTACTAAAGCCACACACATGCAAGATTAGTATTCTACCACCATTGCCCTCTGTTACAGACCCTCTAGTTGCTTCTCTGTCATAGAGCAAGTCAAGCTCCCTGCAGCCTCTCTCCACACAGAGATTATAAACATGTGTGGCCTTCCAGCAACTCCTTTCCCCTCACACTGCCAGCCAGTGGGCCCAACCTCCTTGAATTATAACTCCCTCCCTCCCTTCCTCCCTCCCTCCCTCCCTCCCTCGTTCCTTTTTTCCTTCCTTCTTATTTTTTTGGAGATAGAAGTAGCCCTGACTAGCCTGGAACTCGATATGTGGACCAGGCTGGCCTCAAACTCTCAGAAATCCTGCTGCCTCTCCCTCCCAAATGCTGGGATTAAAGGCGTGCACCACCAGACAGGGTCTTCCTGTAGCCTCAGCTAGTCTGGAACTCACTGTAGACCAGGCTGGCCTTGAACTCCCAGACATCCACCTCCCGAGTGCAGGGGGGGGAGGGAGGCGGGTAATTAAAGGCGCGGGCCACCACGTCCCAATGTCACTCAGTTCTTAGAAGGCGGGTCTAGTATTACTCACCAATCACTGATGCTGTTAGTACCTTGCATGAGTTGTCCAATGAGGAGCATGGATAATGGGGGTGGGTGTCGCCCTTGCCGACATATTTGAGTTCCTTGTAGCGGGAGGCGTGTAACAACTCCTTCTAGATGTCAGTTACTTCTGCATTCCGCCGGCCCCTCAGGGCGGACACCTGGGTGCTTCAGAAACAGGAAATGGTGAGTGTGCGGTGGCACCTGGAGTCGTGGGCTCCGGGTTTGTCACACCGCGGCGGCTTCGGCGTGATGTGGCGCCGCCGCCCGGTCGTTCCCCTGGCGCTGTGCGGGGTGAGTTGGAGTCTGGCTCTGCCGCCATCATCTCCGAGTGCGCTTGAATTGTGTGCCGAGCAGGCAGCCGGCAGCCCGGCGCCCAGGCCTGCGCTGCCCTGAGCTGTCCTGTGCCATGAGCTGCTTCGTCCCTGTACCGGGTCCTGTCGGGTGAATCCGCCCCGCCAACCTGCGCCTGGGCAGACACTGCAGGGCTGGCAGCTTGGTGACGCTGAGTCCAGATGGCGGTCAAGGGACATGTGGTGTGCACTGCTGCGGGTCTGCCGGTGCACCTCTGTGTGCCCTGCTTTCGTTTTCGCCTGTGATCACCCCGTTTGTTTTGTTTGTTGTGTTGTGTTTGAGTTTTAAGGGTTTTTTTTGTTTCGGTTTTTTTTTTTGTTGTTTTTTTTTTTTGAGTACTGGGGCGCGAACCCCAGGGCCTCGCTCATGCTAGATTTACCATGGACTTGTATACCCACCCCTCATCCTGAGTTAGTTTTATGCTAGAACTTGGAGGATTTGTTAGGGCGGCTGGCTCCAAGGCTTGGAGGAAGGACAGAAATTTAAGTTTACTTTAAAATGTATTTGTTTGCAGAATTTATTTTTTGTGGCAAAAAGTGGAATTTACAAAAAAAGGTTTTGTTTTGTTTTGTTTTGTTTTTTTAAAAAAAACCATTTAATAACTACATGATTAGAAGAAGCATTTCATTACAGCATTAACATATTCAATAACAATTTCCAGAGTAAAGATGCATCTCTTTCAAAAGTGGCTATAAATTTTTAGGTTCACAGTTGAATTAATACACGTATACAATATTGAACTCATATAAACCCTATAAGACATAAAATTGAATGAGGTTTTAACCTTTAAAAAATATCTCCATTTCATTTTAAAATATACTATTTCATACAGAAAAACTCATTTTTAATGCTACTAACACTAAATGTTTGCACATGCATCTCTAATCTCTATGTATCTGATTATTACTAGTCACAGTTGGTTACTTTCTGAGATCCTTGGCACCTGAGAGTATGGATATAGTCATCGGGTAGATTTCAATGGTAATGTTTTTCATCTCTACTACTTAACATGAAGCAAATTTTTGTGCTTTTTCCTCAAATATGTCATTTTTCTGTTGATTTTTTTTTTGTGTGTGTGTGTGTGTGTGTATATCATACAGAACATCCCAAACAGTCTTATTCATTTATATACCTACATCCCAAATGGCACCCTCCCATAGCCCTCCCCCACAACTGGAGCCCATATACTCTGTCATCCCTGTTACTGTCCACTGTGTTGGTGGTGCCCCCAGTTGTTCCCCAGTGCTGTCCATCCACTGCATCTAGTCAGCCTATCTAGAGTTCCTTGTTTTAGGAAGATAAGCTCTTCCTCATCTAGCAGCAATCAGTTGCCAATATTCCTTTAGATAAGATTAGGGTCTGCTGTTCATTTTCCCAGTTCTATGCTGGGTTACTGTCTGGGAGTCTCTTGGGCCACACTGGCCAACAACTCAAAGGAAGGTATCTCCTGTCTGGCATTGTTTCTTGTTATATAGCTTTAGCTGTACACAGGGACTCTTAAAAAATTATATTGACCCCTTTAATCCTTGGTTATACTTTACTTTTGGGTGTTTAAGACCCTACAGTTGGCCCAGATAAACCAGTTTATTTTTACTCTTTATACTTTTACTCTTAAGGCTGTTTGAAGATTTGTTCCTCAGGGGTCACATGGGCTTGGGAGGAGCCCTGCATATGTGAAGATAAGTCAAAGGTCCTGCTCAACCATGGTTGTCTTCTCTTGGAAGCATAGAGGACATGATTCCTCTGTGTTGATTCTCCTCTTTGTAGACTGGACACTGGTTCAAGTCCATCTGGTGGGGTCTCCTCAGCCTCCTTGATCAAGACAGGTGACTCACCACAGTTACAGGACATTTTGAGAGATGCTCATAGTCCCCTGGAATTTAGTTGACCTAGGAGGGCAAGGAGCAAAAACTGTCCTTTATGTCCCTCTGCCTCAAAGTATGTCTGTTAAACATTCAAGAAGGTTAGTTCCACCAATCTGGTACTTTAATTACCATGTGCCATGTAGATAAAGCTTAGGCCAAACATTCTCAGATAAACCTTTCCTAGATATATATTCCTTGAGCTAGTTGTATGTATAATTTGTTAGTAGGTTGTTTGATTAATATGGTTCCCTCTGTTTTTGTTTTAAACTAGGCATTATTTATCTATTGCATTGTCTAACCCTTCCACTATGGTTTCCCCATTTAAAGTACCCCCATTTTTCCCTTAATAATACCCTTTTCCTATGGTCTGACCTCTCTTGAGCGCCTTCTTCCCTTTAGCCCCAAGATTCCCTGTATAACCTTCCCTCCCCCCTCCCCTTAAAATAACCCCATTTTTATCCATATCTCTGTTATTAACACCTGTTTCAGATTCTTTCTTTTCCTTTACCTCCCTGGTTCCTTTTCATTATCCTGGTTCCTGTAGTTATATCTGGATATATACTCACTTATCAGGATTTGGTGCTAGGATCCACATATGAGGAAAAACATATTTTTCCCCCCTGCGTCTGTGTTACTTAATACAACAGTTTTTAGTTCCATCCATTTACCTGCAAATTCATGATTTCATCTTTCTTTACTGCTGAGTAAAACTCCAATGTATAAATGAACCACATTTTCATTATCCACTCATCAGTTGAGGGACACTTAGGTTGCTTCCATCTCTTAGCTATTGTAAAAAGAGCAGCAACAAACATGGATGTACAAGTGTCTCTGCAATAGGATGAGTTCTTTGGGTATATGCCAAGGAATGGTATAACTGGGTCAAATGGTAGGTTCATTTGTAGTTTTTTAAGAGTTCTCCACACTGCTTTCCATAGGGGTTGAACCAGTTTGCAGTCCCACCAGCAGTGGATGAGTGTTCCCCTTTCCCCACATCCTCTCCAACATTTGGTATCATTTGTTCTCTCAATCTTAGCCAGTCTGACTGGGGTAAGATGAAATCTTAAAGTGGTTTTAATTTGCATTTCCCTAATTACTAGTGATGTCGAATACCTTTTGAGATGCTTCTTAGCCCCTCTTTTAATTGGGTTACTTCCTTTCTTGATTCTTTATTTTTTGAGTTAGTTATATATTCTGGAGGTTAAACCTCTGTCAGATGGGTTGCTGGTGAAGATTTTCTCCCATTCTGTGGGTTTTTTCTTCACTTCCTTGGTTGCTTCTTTTGATGTACAGAAGCTTTTTAGTTAAAAGAGGTCCCATTTGTTGATTCTTGATCTTCTTTCCTGGGCAGTTGATGTCCAGTTTAGAAAATCCTTTCCTACACCTATATCTTGTAGATTATTGTCAATGTTTTCTTCTAACAGTTTCAGAGTTTCAGGCT